CTCTCTTCTCCCGCCCCCTCATTGAGGTATTGAAAGGAGTTCGGTCTTGGAGACATGCTTCTTCGCAAATTCGCAAACTGTCCAAAAAATATTCAGCAATATACAAAGGTGCTGCGATAGGAGCTGAAGAAAAAACAACGAAAAGAGACGAGAGACGAGGTGTAAAATTAATTCGAGCGGATGTGCATTGTGCAGCAATCACGCTTGCTGCTGGAGCCACTTTTTGTGAATTGGATACTTGCTGTGCATAAGAGGACACACAAAGTGTTGTGCAGGTCGATCTCCAGGGCAAGATCTGTTGCCAGAAAGGTAGTAGGTAAATCTTTTTTTTTCTTCTTCTTTTTTTAACAAGTACTCATGAGCAACGTGCATACTGTAGGGAACTGGGTGTTCTGGCTGTTCAGTTTTTGGAAGCAGTAGCCAGGATCAATCCACAGCCAACCAGACGGAACCGAACCGGTGACCTTGGCCATAACAACCGGATGCCTTCACCGCTGCAACATCTGTGACCCGGTGTTCAATGCTGAAGCCATACCGGGGGCTGGCTGGCTGGCTGCAGATCATGAGAGACGGTTAACGGGGGTGTAAATTTTCAGACAGTTTGTCATGCCATTTATAAGAAAACCCAAAGGGCCTTATAACCAAACTTGCCACCAATTCGTAGAGTTGACCCCCGAACCCTAATTTCAGATTTGGACCTGTTACCCAATAGCTGAAAAGTGGGGGTCCCTGTTAAACACCTCCTTGTGGAGGTCATGAGAGAGGAGCTGAAAAGTGGGGGTCACTTGTGGAGGTCATGAGAGAGAGGAGGTGAGACAAGGTGCTGCTGTGCTGATGACAATGGAATTTGATTGACACAAATAATGTCACAAATGCTTTAGAAGCTTTAGAAGATTAGAAGATGGGTGGAGTCGCGGCATGACAAGCAACGATATTGCTTTTGCTAACCAGGACATTTTGGGCGCAAAACATTCTCTATCATACTTGCAAGCAGACGGACGGGACGAGCGTCCGGTCCGGTCCGCTTTGCCGCGTGCGGCACCCTCCCCTTGGACCGGACGAACCTGGACCGGACCGGACGGGGCCATTTTTTTTTTGGGGGGGGGGTAACTGGTCGTCGGGCGCACATTCGTGCGCCGTGCGGGTCCGGTCCGGCGGTCCGCCGCACGTGCGGAACCGCCCGGACGGCGTCCACTTGCAAGTATGTTCTCTATCCTTTCTTTTTTTTTTTTTTTTTTTTTTTTAATTTGGACCATTTCTCGATTTATGCGTGTCATCCTTGCGCAGGGGCCATGGCAATCTTCTCTGTATCGTTAATTTTAACAGATGTCCCAAAGGACCTCTTTTTTATTTTTCATTTTTTAATTATACTATTATAGTAAATTTATTCTGTTAATCTGATCACTTCTTGAGTCTAACTTGGGTCTGTATTTCAATTTTCAAATTTCAACAGTTCATAGGTGGATCAACTGAGCTAGCGCAATTGGTAAAACGTACTTGTCCTGACAAGTACTTGTGTGCAATGTTTTTGGCAAAATGGCCGATAAACTCGATAGAGTCAATTGCCCATGAGTCCTAATTGACTGCTTGGCATTGAATGATTGCACACACTTTTCTTGTGCTGGAGGGAGTGCTTTGGTGCCTGTGTCCCTTTCTTTTGGTATTTTTTATTTTAATAAAGTTTTTATCGTTTTGTAACTTTTGTTGGCTTTTGTATTGTGTTATTTTTATGGCTGGCTTTGCAAAATGGCCTGGAAATGTGCACACACACACACGCACACACACACACACACACACACACACACACACACACACACACACACACACACACACACACACACACACATGCTTGTCATGTGTTCCTTTTTGGCACGGGCGGTGGGACTTTCCGACTTGGCCTCGAACTGGTGGATGGAGCAGACAGTGAACCTGGTCAATGAGGGCCCAGGTGTTTCTGTGACAGCTCTTCTTGCATTGCTTCGGATGTTGAAGAGGAAGAATCTGAGGCCTGAGCAAGTCAATTTGATGACAACATCCGATAAGCTTTTGACGGTGAGCGATGGTACTCTACTGCCTCTTCCTTACAGAGCCTGGAATGGACATTTCGAAAAATTTCCCCATGTCTGTAAATTGCAGTTGTTTTTTTCCCCAGGGGAAATGGAGCGGCAGCCGTATTGGCTGTCAACTCCAGGCTTCAGCATGTTGGGGAGTGATATGTCGATGCGATATGCTCATACTCTCAAAGCTTTGTCCACATCTACTCACCATGCAGAAGTCCTCTGTAGTTTCTCCTATGTCCCAATACTCGTCCGTTTCTCTTTGCTCTCCAGAGTCTCCACAGAATCCTTCTGAATTGACCACCACCACCACCGCCACCACCACCACAACAACAACAACCACAACCGCCACCACCACCACAACCACGACCACAACAACAACAGCAGCAGCAGCAGCAGCGGAGCAGCGGGAACAGCGATGACAACAAGAACAGCAACGCCAACAAGCAGCAAGAAACAACAAAGAACGAAGAAGGAAGAACGAAGAATGAATAAACAAACAAGGAACAAACAACAACTGTGGCGGCAGGTAACTCATTCCATGGTTCTAAGCTGGCAGCCTGCTGACTCAGCTAGCTGGTACTCTCCCGGCCACCTCCTGTGTAATGGGGTATGTGTAGTGCCTCTTGTTATTTAAACAGAGGATGCACGGTTGCTTTATGTGGGTCGACAGGCGTGTTTTCTCTCGTTGTTTAAACAGAGGAGTTTATGTGGGTGGACAGGCATGTTTTCTCTTGTTGTTTAAACAGAGGACTTTTATGTGGGTCGACAGGCCTGTTTTCTCTCGTTGTTTGAACAGAGGACACACTGTTGCTTGTTTTCATCGTTTTTTGTGTATGAAAAGGACGATGTAGGACATACATGAGGAGTTTTTGGGATGCACCTGACCACAGCTGCAGACGAATTCAGTTCCCACAGTCCTAATGTAGGCTAAGTAGTAAGTAACCTTAGGAGTGAGAAGGTGAAAACCCTCCCTGGGATCTTTCTTTTGGTTTGAAGTCCGAACTCTTCTCCATTGTGTGTGTGTGTGTGTGTGTGTGTTTGCTGAACTGTGATGATCCCTGTCTCAATGTGTGGTTTACTTGCAGGATCAAGAATGGATTGTGCCAGCCATCACCACGTCACTCTTGGAAGAGCAGTTGAAATTGCCTTACGTTTTTGCGCGCGAGTTTGGCGTGCTCACTATACAGGTCCGTTCTCGTATTCACTTTGGCTTGCAGCTTTGCCTCCCACCAATCAAGTTTCTTTTGTTGAAACTCCATCAAAGTTCATTGGTCAATCATCTTTTTTTTTTGCATTACACAAGGACGACGACCTTCAGGTATCATCTATGAACTGATCTTCTGCAGGTTTAGGGTTTAGACTCTTCAGAGTGACTGTATTCATCCGATTCCATCATCAGGCGTGTATTTAAGAAGGAAAAAAAAAAAAAAAAGGATTCGATCTGAGGTCTGTTTATCAACAGTCCATGGGTGTACCATCCATCATCATCTTTCGACTGATGCACATTTGCTTTTTTTTTGCTTTTTTTTGTTTCGGTTGTTTCCACCCCCTTGATTGATTGGTCGATTGATTGGTTGATTGATTGGTTGGTTGATTGATTGATGGGATGGATGGATGGATGGATGGATTGAAATGATTGATTGATTGATTGATTGATTGATTGATCGATCGATTGATTGATGCCCATTTGGAGTTGGTTATCTTTGTGTGATTCCCCCCCTCCCCCCCCGGTCCCTCTGTCTCCTTTACGATTGCCTCCCAATGACATATGAGTAGCCGAGAACTTTGAAAAGTCAATTTGCAACTTCTTTGTCTGTGATTCCCGTCCAATGTGGTTAATGTATGTGTGTGTGTGTGTGTGTGTGTGTGTGTGTGTGTGTGTGTGTGTGTGTGTGTGTGTGTGTGTGTGTGTGTGTTGGAGTTCTTCATCTGGTACCACATAAGCCGACACCACATATCTCAGTGTGCCCCATGCTGTCTGCTCCTTTCTTCATTTGTTCGGCGAAGTATGTGCTCCCCCAATCGATACCCATGTGGCAATAGTTTTCCAATGGCCATTCGAGAAAGCGCCGGCCAGGCACGGCTTGATGACATTTGGCAGTGTCTGGTGTCTGTTTGCAGGGCAAAGCTTTAGATCGATGTCTGTCGAAGAGGTGCATTCTGCCAACTTCTTCAATCATTATGCAGACAGATAGCGATCGTGATTCCGACTGGACTGCCTCGTCGAGTCTCGCACGGGTGAAACACATCTGGGCTGGGGAATGGGAAACTCTGCAGCAAGCGAGGATGGAAGAGGTGCGGAAGGAGAAAGGGACTACTGCCAAGGAACTGGAAAACATATCGAATTGGGCAGAGATGACGAAGGGGATGTCGAGGGAAGAGAAGAGGACATTCTTTGTCGAAATGTTCAGGGAGCGACGCATTCTCGCAATGAGAGAGAAGAGAATAAAGGAACGCTACGGAAAAGTAGTTAGGCTAAAGAAGAGGGTGGGAGATTTTGGGTATATTTATGGCTCTGATCCGAATGAAGCTCACAATACTGGAGAAGGGAGGGTGGTGGTGAAGCTGTACAGAGAGCCCAGTGATGACACTCCAAGCAGCAGAGAGGGTGCACTCTCTGGGGAGTTGGAGGAGGAGGAGGAGTTGCCAATTTCACCTCATGGCAAGCATTTAACACCTACAAGGACTAACAGCCAGCAGGTATATGACATTCCTTGAAGCACCCATCAGCAATCCTTGAATTGGGAAGTGATATGTGTAGTGCATGGGTCCTAGGGACCATCTCACGCAAATGTGTACATGTCATGCATCATCTTCACACGCAGTGATCAATAGTATCAACCATAGACAAAGATAGAGAAGAAGAGGA